TTCGGAAGGAAATCAGCCCTGAGTGCTCACTGGAAGGACAGATCCTGAAGCTGAGGCTCCAAGACCTTGGCCACCTCATGAGAAGAGAAGACTCCCTGGAGAAGACACTGATGTTGGGGAAGATGGAGGGCACAAGGAGAAGGGGACGACAGAGGACGAGATGGTTGGATAGTGTTCTCGAAGCTACCAGCATGAGTTTGACCAAACTGCGGGAGGCGGTGGAAGACAGGAGGGCCTGGCGTGCTCTGGTCCAGGGGGTCACGAAGAGGCAGACATGACTAAACAACTAAACAACAGCAACATGTGTTTTTTGGCTTACAATATTGTAAGTTGCATTGCCGTTGTGGAAAAAAAGTGATGAATAACTATTAGTTATTGTTTTGTTCCTCTTCCAGTTCCTGTTACGTACTTTGTGGTTTTACTCTGTACACTTATGCTGTGAACCACCCTGAGATCTTTGGATGGAGGTCAGTATACAAATTTAATAAATAATAACAACAACTATGCTGCCCTCTTATGTACTTCCAGCCTCCTTCTCTCCCTTCCTTCCTCTCTGTCTCACATGTGGCTCCTTGGCCCCTAAAGAGGACCAGGGATTCCCCGCTTCCTTTCTGCTCTCTTGACCTTCCTGCCCAGGCCTCCTGTTGCCCCATACCCGGAGCAGCCTCGGCTGACATGTGGGGGGAGCGTGGCGGTTGCAGTGGGGCATTCCCGGACATTCAGGAACGGTCATCCTGTGGGTGTTTGGGGACACCGGGTTCATCTGTGTGTTGTCGTTCGTTCCCCCAGAGGAGAGAGTCACTGGAAAATCTTCCTCAGCAGCTCTCAGCATGGCCCTGGAACGTGACCTCCTCCGTCATGGGCCCCAGCTGCCTGGCAGCCAGGCAGGAATATGCTGAGTCAAGGCCCCAAAAGTGCAGCAGGGGCAGTTAGCAGCCATTCCCCTGAATCAGCAGGAGATAGGGCCAGGGTGCAAAACCTGACCCCTTCTCCTGATAAAGCCCTGGCCTTTCTGGCCCCAGCGCTCAGCCAGAATCACGGCGATGCACCCACTCGGCCCAGACCCCTCGCCAAATGTGCAGCGAGCTGCAGGAAGCACATCACACCACTGACTGACCCTATGGCTAATTGGATGGCTAGATGCCTTTGGGAGCAAACTTGCGCCTCCAAACATGGGGCAAGGTGAGGCAAATGCCTCAGGTGGCAGGATCCAAAGGCACGGCAGATCTGGCCTCCAAAGAACGCATTGGCGCAGTGTTGGTGCTGACCTTTAAAACCCTAAATGGCCTTGATTCAGTATATTTGAAGGAGCATCTCCACCCCCATCATTCTGCCCGGATGCTGAGGTCCAGCTCTGAGGGTCTTCTGGTGATTCCCTCCCTCCGAGAAGCCAAGTTACAGGGAACCAGGCAGAGGGCCTTCTCAGTGGTGGCTCCCGCCCTGTGGAACAGCCTCCCACCAGATGTCAAAGAGAAGAACAACTACCAGACTTTTAGAAGACATCTGAAGGCAGCCCTGTTTAGGGAAGCTTTTAATGTTTGATGCACTACTGTATTTTAATATTTTGTTGGAAGCCACCCAGAGTGGCTGGGGAAACCCAGCCAGATGGGCAGGGTATAAATAATAAATTAAATTATTTATTATTATTATTATTGGCCACCGTTGATGCTGCTGTGGTGACAGAAGCAGCTGTGGTGAAGAAGAAGCAGAAGAGTTTGGATTTGATATCCCGCTTTATTCCTACCCGAAGGAGTCTCAAAGCGGCTAACATTCTCCTTTCCCTTCCTCCCCCACAATAAACACTCTCTGATGTGAGTGAGGCTGAGAGACTTCAGAAAAGTGTGACTGGCCCAAGGTCACCCAGCAGCTGCAGGTGGAGGAGCAGGGAAGCGAACCCAGTTCACCAGATTACGAGTCCACCGCTTTTAGCCAATACACCACACTGGCTCTCACTCCTTCGAGGCCAAACCTGCCTCCTCATTGGCAGCCCTCCATGCAGCCTCAGCAATGGCCTCTTGATAAATAGGAGGTGCTGATGGTCTCCTCCCACCCCCTCTACCTATATCAATATCTCAACGCCTCCCCCATGCGCTGAGTTGGGAAGATTTTGGGCATCACATGGCAGGACAGGGTCTCAAAGAGATCTCCCAAGCCCACATTCCCAGAATGTGTCTCAGCGACGTCTACGCTGGCTTGGCCATGTCCACAGAATGGAAGAGGGCAGGATTCCCCAAGGGATCAGTAGCTTCCAGCACCAGACCAACTCTGCATAACAAAGATGTCTGCAAGCGTGACATGGAGGCTGTGACATCAACTCCGCCGTGTGGGAATCCCTTGCAAATGACCGCAGTGCCTGGAGACAGGCAGGTTGTGCATCCGCAGCAGTGACCAGAGGAGGAATGGCCGCTTTGGGGAGCGAAGAAACACCCTGGCACATCTGCAGCAGCACAACTGGCCGCCTTCCTCTGCCCCGGCTGCAACAAAACATGTCTCTCCTGTATCGGTTTCTGCAGCCACAGCAGGTGCTGCAACCTTCCAAAAGTTTGACTTCACCTCCAAAGGAACAGTCCTCCACTGTTTCCTGAGACAGACAGACGGACGCCCACAACAACAACAACAATGTTCTTTGGAAGAGAAGGGTGTTGTCCATTCAACATTTTTGTCGACTGAGGTTGTGTGGCCATCGGTCATGGATGTTTCAGCCGAGTTTCCTGCATTGCAGGGAGTCGGACGAGATGGGTCCCTTTCAGCTCTAGAATTCCCTGGTTATGCAATGCAGTTTCCCAATCGAGTAAGGAGCACAAAAATGTACAGACCATGGCAAAGAGAGCCTATGTGAAATAGCAGAGAAAAATGCTTTGGATGACGGAAACAGGTTTTGCAAAAATGCGCGTATGAAGTGAAATTGCAGGCAAGGATGCGAATATTAGGATACAAGGGCGTTAAAATGCCGGTGGATTTTCATGCAGACACCCACAAGTTGTTGTTGTTGTTGTTTAGTCATTTAGTTGTGTCCAACTCTTCGTGACCCCATGGACCAGAGCACGCCAGGCACCTCTCTCCTCCACTACCTCCCGCAGTTTGGTCAAACTCATGCTGGTAACCTCGAAAACACTATCCAACCATCTCATCCTCTGTCGCCCCCTTCTCCTTGTGCCCTCCATCTTTACCAACATCAGGGTCTTCTCCAGGGAGTCTTCTCTTCTCATGAGGTGGCCAAAGTACTGGAGCCTCAGCTTCACGATCTGTCCTTCCAGTGAGCACTCAGGGCTGATTTCCTTAAGAATGGATGCATTTGATCTTCTTGCCGTCCATGGGACTCTCAAGAGTCTTCTCCAGCACCATAATTCAAAAGCATCAATTCTTCGGCGATCAGCCTTCTTTATGGTCCAGCTCTCACTTCCATACATCACTACTGGGAAGACCATGGCTTAAACTATACGGACCTTTGTTGGCAAGGTGACATCTCTACTTCTCAAGATGCTGTCTAGGCCTGTCATTGCCCTTCTCCCTAGAAGCAGGCGTCTTTTAATTTCATGGCTGCTGTCACCACAAACCCACCCACAAACTGAGGTGCAAATATGAACAACTGAAAGATGAGCAATAGAGAGAAACCAGAATTGATAGACCTGCCTATCTGTAGCCCAAGAACACACTCCCTGAAAGGCTGAATGGAAAAAATAAGCCATGGAAATGGATATGGGTTTGTGGGTGTTCAAGGAAACCCCAGGGAGGATTAAAACGGTTAAGCAACCAGGAAACAGAGAGTAGGAATAAATGGACAACTCTCCAAACAGAGTCAGAGAGATGTAGAAAGTTGAGTCTCCCAGGAATCCGTACTGATTTTAACTTGATCATAGATAAAACGATTCAGAGTTAAGCGCAAGCAGTGAAGCGGCCGGCTTTGCTGATGAGACTACGGTAAATTGTTTGTGGCTGCAAAAAATATTAAGAGACTGTGAAGAGCTCCAGAATGACCTCTCCAAACTGAGTGAGTGGGAGGCAAAACGGCAAATGAAAATGGCAAATGTCACAGAGGGACAAGGAATCTTCATTCCACCTATGTCCTCGTGGGGTCTGTGGGCCAGGAGGGAGACTTTGGGGGTCACAGGAGAGAGCTCTCCGAAGATGTCGACCCAGAGTGTGGCCGCTGTGGACAAGGCAGGTTCCCATGCTAAGGATCTTTAAGAATGGACAACAAAACCGGCAGTATCACAAGGCCAAAATGCTAATCTGTGGTGTGGCCCTGTTTGGAGTGCTGTGTGTCCAGTTCAGGTGGCCTCACTGCGAAAAGGATATTGCAGAGTTGGAGAAGGTTCAAAGAAGAGCAACCGAAAGGAGGGAAGGGTGCAGTGGGGGGGGGGTTAGTTTAGAGAAAAGGCGAGTAATATGAGACACAATAAAAGTTTATAAAATGCTACATGGCATGGAGAAGGTGGACAGAGGAAGGTTTTTCTCCTTTCGTAGCACTAGAATTCATGGCCATTCAAGGAAGCGGAACTTGAGAGATTCAGGATGGATAAAAGAAATGGTTAACTTGCGGAACTCCCCGCCACAGGAGGCAGGTTTGGCCACCAACTTGGCGGCTTTAAAAGAGGGTTAGGCAAATTCATGGAGGAGGAGAGGGTTGTCAGTGGCTGTATGTTGTGGGAGGTGGCAATATTTCTGAAGCCACAGGAGAAGGAGGGAGCTCCAGTTCTGCAGCCAAGGGCTGAGATTCCTGCATTGCAGGGGGTCAGACTAGACGACCCTTGAGGGTCCCGTGCAACTCTACAATTCTGCCATTCTCTCTCTCTCCCCCACTTCTGGAGGACTCCTGGTCCTGGGGCAGGGATGGGGTTGGGGGGCAGGAGGAGGAGGAGGAGGGGCCACATCTGGGCAGCCAAGCCCCCTCCGCGCTCCGCTGCCGCCGCCGGGGCGTGACTCAGCCTCTCCGCGCCCCTCCGCCGCCCCACTCCCGCGACGGGGCGCAGCGAGGCGGCGGGAGTTGTTTGCGGGCGTTGCTCATCGCGACGAGGGCGGGGAGCGGCGGGGCCGGCCGGTGACTTCATCGCGGCTTCCTGGCCCGCGGCTGGGCGGGCGGGCATAAAAGCAGCCCTCGGCAGGCAGCCCCAGCCACAAAAGCCGCAGCGCCGAGCAAGAGTCGCTCCCGCCAGACAGAGAGAGAAACCAAGCAGGTAGGAAAGGAACCGAAGCTGCTCGCTCGCTCGCTGGGCGCTGGGCAGTCCTGCGGGCTGCAACGCACGTCGGGAGAGGCGGACGCGTGTCCAAGCAGGGTCCCGTACCCGCCGTGCCTGCCTTCCCGCGTTGCAGGGGCTTCAGGTTTCCTCCGGAGGGGAATCGGGACCGGGAAGAGCACCGAAAGCGGCCCTAGGGCGGGGGACGAGCTGCGCATCTGGACGAAGGCGCCCCCGGGGAAGGGAGACCCCTCTCCAAGCCTGGCTCTCGCCCTACCCCGTCCCCCAGCCCCGCGCCCCGATTCCCAGGCGGCCGAGCCGTGCGCCTTCCTCTCGTCGGGGGTCTCCTCTCTCACCGCCTTCTCCTCCCCTTCCTAGGATGCCTCTGCCGTCGAGAACGATCCCCGGAGCCTCCCGGAGCCTGGTCTGGGCTGTCACCCTGGCGGGGCTGCTGGCCCTGTCCTGGGCGTCCCCGGCGCCCCTCGCCCGGCCGGGTGTCTCCCGCGTGGCCAGCCTCTCCACCGACTTCGGCGTGCGCGTCTTCCGCGAGGTGGCCGCCGCCTCCGGCGAGCGCAACGTGGCCTTCTCTCCCTACGGCGTCGCCTCCGTCCTGGCCATGCTGCAGATGGCCGCCGCCGGCGAGACGCGGAGACAGATCCAGGACAGCATGGCTTTCAGCCTCGACGGTGAGTCCGCAGCCGCGGATGGGGGGGCTCGCTGAGAGGGGGCCGTGGGGCGCAGCGGCTCAGGGAAGCCTCCGACACTTTGTCCTGGCTTTGCTGCAACAAGGGAAACGTGAGGGTGGCAGCAAAGTTCCTCCTCGCTGGCATCCACTTGACGTCCACTTGAGGTGCAGGATGCATCCCCTTAGGGGGCAGGAGAAGCCCCGCAGGACAGCCTGGAGAAGAGGAGAAGAGGAGGTTAAGGGGTGATATGATAGCCATGTTCAAATATATAAAAGGATGTCACATAGAGGAGGGAGAAAGGTTGTTTTCTGCTGCTCCAGAGAAGCGGACACGGAGCAATGGATCCAAACTACAAGAAAGACGATTCCACCTAAACATTAGGAAGAACTTCCTGACAGTAAGAGCTGTTCGACAGTGGAATTTGCTGCCAAGGAGTGTGGTGGAGTCTCCTTCTTTGGAGGTCTTTAAGCAGAGGCTTGACAACCATATGTCAGGAGTGCTCTGATGGTGTTTCCTGCTTGGCAGGGGGTTGGACTCGATGGCCCTTGGGGTCTATTCCAACTCTAGGATTCTATGATTCTATGACAGACCCCACTACTAGCCGGAGCAAGCCAGCCCACTCAGGCAAGAAATATGTGGGGAGAACCCCCAGCTATTTCCCTGACACGCCAGAGGTGGCCAAGCTGGGTTGTGATGCTGTTCTCCAAGTCCCAGAGCTGACTCCCACCCCATGCAAGGAAGGCTGCTGCCTCCCCATCCCTGGTGTTGCAGTGATATTCAGGGGGTCCGTCTTGCGGGGAGGAACTGAGGGTGGGGCCCCCTCTTTTCCTTGGCCTCCTTGAGCTCCCTGCCTCTTCCAAGAAGAGCCAGAGTCTGCCATGGGCTGCTCTCCTCTCAGCTATCTGGTCAAAGCACCAAAATAAACCCCAAATCTTCGCCAGCTGAGCTGGTGATACAGGGGGAGTTACCCACTGTGTCAACATTCATGTTTTGTTTTAATTGAGGAATTAGTTGTTGTTTTTAACTACCTCTTATGCAACTGGGGCGACTCATGCATCCAGACCATAGAATTGCAGAGTCATCTATTCCCACCCCCCTGCAATGCAGGAATCTCAGCTCAAGCACCCAAGACTGATGAACCACAACCTCCCAAGGGAGCCCGAATCTCCTTCCTTGCAATATCAAGCCCTGGATTCGAGTCCTACCCTCTGGAGCAGCAGGAAACATGCTTGCTCCATCTTTCACGTGGCAGCCCTGAAGATATATGATGTTGGCCCTCATAGCTCCTCTTCTCCAGGCTAAACATGCCCAGCTCCTTCAACCATTCCTCATCAGGCTTAATTTCCAGACCCTTGATGCTCTTGGTCGAACCTTCTCTGCACACCTTCCAGCTGGTCAATCTCCTTTAAACTGCGGTGCCCAGAAATGGACACAGGACTCCAGTTGCAGTCTGACCAAGGCAAAATAGAGTGGGACTATTCCTTCCCTTGATCCAGACACTAGACTTCTGTGGACGCAGCCTAGAATAGCTTTAGCCTTTTTTGCTGCTGCATCACACTGCGAACTCATGTTCAGCTTGTGGACCACTAAGACCCCCTGATCTCTTTCACATGTACTACTAGTAAGCCAGGTGCCCCCCCCCATCTTACAATTATGTAGCTGGTTCTCCCTGCCTAAGTGTAGAACCTTACATTTGTCCCTTAAAAAAAAAGTTTTTATTAAAGATTTTCTTGGGTCACAAAAGTACAAACTTTTGTGCATTTTCAGATCATAAAGTCCTTTCTATAGATCAGTTATATTCGATGTGAGACTTTGATGCTGTATACAGCATAAGGTATGGGGCGCGGGTGGCGCTGTGGGTTAAACCTCAGAGCCTAGGACTTGCCGATCAGAAGGTCGGCGGTTCGAATTCCCACGACGGGGTGAGCTCCTGTTGTTCAGTCCCTGCTCCTGCCCACCTAGCAGTTCGAAAGCACGTCAAAGTGCAAGTAGATAAATAGGCACCGCTCCGGCGGGAAGGTAAACGGCGTTTCCGTGTGCTGCTCTGGTTCGCCAGAAGCGGCTCAGTCCTGCTGGCCACATGACCCGGAAGCTGTACACCAGCTTCCTCGGCCTGTAAAGCGAGATGAGCGCTGCAACCCCAGAGTCAGTCACGACTGGACCTAATGGTCAGGGGTCCCTTTACCTTTACAGCATAAGGCTGGGGGAGAAGAGAGGTGGGAAAAGAGATGGGGGGAGAGGGGGGGGAGAGAGAAGCGGGGTAGAAAACTTTAATCTGTAAGCTCCTTACACCACTTTCCTTAAATGCCTCCCACTTTTCTTTCTTGTTGGCACATTGTGTGCATTTGGGCCTTCAACATTTCTCCTTTTAGAAACTCCCATCCATCTGGGATTCCCTTCTCTTTGAGTATTTCTGACCACGGGATTTCACCCAGTAGCTCCTTCAGCTTTTTGAAATTGGCCTTCTTAAAGTCCAGAGTGTGTGTGTCTGACTACGCTCAACTTTCCCTTGCCTCTATATTGTGAAACCCAGAAGGACATGACCACTTCCTCCCGAGTTTCCTGGCACTTCCACTTTATCAATCAGCTGGTGTGGACCAGGTCCAAGATAGATGGTCTCCTTGTTGCTTCTTCCCCTTTCTGAGACATGAAATGGTCAGCGAGCAACTGGGGAATTTTTGGACCGTACATTCTTAGCAGAGTTTGGAGTCCCAACAGATATTGGGCTCGTCAAAGTCTCCCATGACTACTATAGCTCCTTTTTGAATCTTGGGTAGTCTGCTCTAGGAAGGCATCACCCAAGTCTTCAGGCTTGGCGGTCTCTAGCAGACCCCCACAGTAAGGTCCCTGTTGTTTCTCTCCCCTGAAATTTATACCCCTACACTCTCAACCTGCCTCCCATGCTCCCAGTCGTGGATTTCTCCACAAGTGTACACATCCTTTATATACACTGCTGCTGCTGCTCCTCCCTTCCTGTTTGGTCTGTTCCTCTTGATCCGGTTATAACCTTCAGTTCCGACATTCCAGTCGTCAGTCTCACTCTGCCAAGTAATGCCTTTGAGGATCAGCCTCCTTGTCATGTGAATCCATTGGTTTGGGTAGAGGGTGCAATGGACAATGAAAAAGTGGAACAAATGGAGAGAGAGAAAAGGGGGGAACGCTTGTATTTATGGGATGGCCTCTCCTGGTCTGCCCCGCAGAGGACCTTAAGGTCCATGAAGAACCATAGTTTAAGGATCCTGGGCCCTAAAGAAGTCAGGCTACCCTCCACCAGGGCCAGGGCCTTCTCAGTTGTGGCTCCGACCTGGTGGAATGCTCTGCCCCATGAGACCAGGGCCTTGCAGGATTTAACCTCCTTCCACAGGGCCTGTAAGACAGAGCTATTCCGCCTGGCCTTTAATTTGAATTCCGCCTGATCTTTTATTCCCCTTCCTTCCCTTTTTATGAAGATTCCCCGCTCTGGGATCCCACAGCTAATTCTCCCCTGGTCTCCTCGCTGGCCCAAATAGGACTCATTTAGCCAGCTAGCCCTGGGGATCATCTAATGTTTAGTGGATGGATTTCCCCCCTAAATTGATTTTTGAATTCTGAGGCAGTGAAAGACAGGAGTGCCTGGTGTGCTCTGGTCCATGGGGTCACGAAGAGTCGGACATGACTAAACGACTATACAACAACAACAACAACTGTATTTTATGCTGTTTTTTGCTGCATCAATTAAGTGTTTTAAATTTGTTGTTAGCCGCCCTGAGCTCAGTTTTCTGAACCGGGAAGGGCGGGGTATAAATAAATAAAATATTATTTATTACTAATGATCTCCCACCCTCTCTGGGCGCTTCCTCCCTGCAGAGTGGGGCACCCCCAGAGCCCTGCGTTGGTTGCAGAAGGCGCTGACGGACCCCAGGAACAAAGACGTAGTGGACACGGCCGACGCCCTCTTTGTGCAGAGGGACCTGGAGCTCAGCCCGGGGTTCATGCCCCACTTCCACCGGGTCTTCCGCCAGACGGTCAAGCAGGTGAACTTCACGGAGAGCGAGGAAGCACGCAGGATCATCAACAGCTGGGTGCAGGACCGCACGAAAGGTGAGCCTCTCCCTTGGCAGCACTGCAAGGCAAGGGGGGAACTGGGCCGCCTGACAGTCACGATGATTGACAGGTGGGCAGGCCCACGGGGGGACAACGCAGGATCCAGCCCACTTGCCAGAAAGGGTTATTTTTTTATGATTTGAGGACACATTGTAAACCAATTAAAACATTATAAGCACGTGCAGTAAGAGATAATAAACGGAAGGATTAGGGAAAATTTATAAATGTATTTGAATTGGATATGCAGTAATAAAAATATGTGAAATAAAGAACCGCAGAAGGGAGGGGGAGGAAAGTTGAGAGAAAGGTACATTAGATTTGTAAAGTTCCCCCCCCCGACTAAAATATTTGTGAAAAATGAAAAATGAAATTAAAAAAGAATTTTCCGCACAGTGTTTGAGAGTATTGCAGTGAGCTGAAATAAATAAGGGAAGAAAAGAGGAAAAGGAAAAATTTAAAAAACAGAGGGAAGCAACAGGAACAAAATAACAAAAATATATATATGTGGATAAATTTATTATTTCCCTCCAGTATATGTTGATTCATGGGTCTCTATGGTTTCCATTAATATGTTCCAAAGGTCATTAAATGTGCCCCTGCACAATCTCTGCCTGCAAGGGATGCGTTCATGGGGTGCAAGAGATGCCATGCCATCTATCAAGTTATTAGTTTTATTATGCATCTTGTGTCTTTACGGTACGAACCGCCCTGAGCTTTGTGGGCGAAGGGCGGTGTGCAAATCTGACAGCATGCATGCCTTCCCCCAGGGATGATCCAGGACTTCCTGCCCGAGGGGACCCTGGACCACATGACCCGCCTGGTCCTGGTGAACGCCATCCACTTCAAGGGCCTCTGGAACCTGCCCTTCCCAGAGGCGGCCACCAGGGAGCGCCTCTTCCACAAGCTGGACGGGAGCACCCTCTCCGTCCCCATGATGGAGCAGACGGCAAAGTGCAACTACGGTGAGCAGGGGCTTGCTGAGAGGTGGGGTGGGAAGGGGTCTTCCTCTTCCTCCTCCTCCTGGAGAATGAGGTCATCAATGTGTCAGGAACGTGGCCCCCCAGAGCGCAGCCTCAGAAATTGAACTAAGCGAGCAAGGAGCCGAGTTTAGAGAGCACAGCCCGGCCCCCTCCTTCCCAGGGAAGAAGCTGTTAGCTCCCAAGGAGAGGGAGAGTTGGAAGTCGGCAGGAGCGCTGCCAGGCAACTAGCAGATAAGCCAGAGGCTGAGGCTGTGTCTTCAGGGAGTGGGGAGGAGACAGGCCAGCCGTTCAGTCCCCAAACTAGGAGACGAGAGAAGCTCAGAGAACAACGGAAGGGAAGGAGAAGAAAGGCGGGGTTTTGGCGTTCTTCCTGGTGGAAGAATGAGTCAGACTGAGCAACTACTGTTAATGAGAGCAGGCGGGAGGGACGTGCTCTGGACGTGTTTCTTCTTGTAATTAAACTTGTAAGCAACATAAAGCCGTTGCTGCTTGTTTGCCAGAGACCGTTATGCAACGGCTACTAGTCAGGATGGCGATGCTCTGCATCAAGAAAACTTCTGAATCCCAGCTGCTCAGGAGGGAAGACTTGCTCTTGTGCTTAGGTCCCGCTTGTGGGTTTGCCACTGTGAGAATGGGAGGCAGGACTAGATAGGCCATTGGTTGATCCAGCAGCTGGGCTCCTCTAATGGAACCTCCAGGTCCAGGTGCAGTCTATCTAGAGTCCTAGATTTCTTAGCCAGCATGCTGGACCAGGTGGGCCCCCTTTGGCCTGACCCAGCAGTCTCTCCTTCTGTTCTTACGCCCTCCTGTCCTGTCCTCTGCAGGTGAATTCTCCAGCCCTGCAGGAGTGGAGTACGATGTCATCGAGCTGCCCTACCAGGGGGAGACCCTCAGCATGCTCATTGCCGCCCCCTTTGAGCTGGACACCCCGCTCTCTGCCCTGACCAACATCATCGACTCCCAGCTGGTGGCCGAATGGAAGAGGAACATGACAGAAGTGACAAGGCTCCTGGTCCTACCCAAGTAGGTGCCTCAACACTTCACCTGAGGAGGGCAGGTGGGAATGTGGGGAACCAAGACTCCCCTGGGTCCACGCCAGGCCCCCATCTCTCCTGTTGGGTGGATTTAGATGAGCAGGGGTGGGTAGTTTATTAATTATCCTTCCTCTCCCTTACTAGTATGCAAGTATCTATTAAGTAAAGGTAAAGGGACCCCTGACCATTAGGTCCAGTCGTGACCGACTCTGGGGTTACGGCGCTCATCTCGCTTTACTGGCCAAGGGAGCCGGCGTCCAGCTTCCGGGTCATGTGGCCCGCATGACTAAGCCGCTTCTGGCAAACCAGAGCAGCGCACGGAAACGCCGTTCACCTTCCTGCCAGAGCGGTACCTATTTATCTTCTTGCACTTTGACGTGCTTTCGAACTGCTAGGTTGGCAGGAGCAGGGACTAAGCAACGGGAGCTCACCCTGTTGCGGGGATTCGAACTGCCGACCTTCTGATCGGCAAGCCCTAGGCTCTGTGGTTTAGGCCACAGCGCCACCTGCGTCCCTAAGTATCTATTACAGCAGAGTAAAATCTCCACCCGTGCGCAGCTTATCTGTAGCAGCTCTTGGGAGAAGTCTATCTAACCTCCTGGAACAATTATGATATCTAAGGATGCAAACTTGGATTATCTTCTCCTATCTATGTTTCCCTCTAACAAGGAAATCACTCTCCAGACTGTTTAAGTAAGCCAGAAAAACGTAGGGTTTACTCACATTAAAAGTCTTGCCAGGTTCCAACAGTTACAGTGGTGAAAATCAAAGAGGCAGTAATCCCTAAACGTTACAAAACTCTACAGCCCAGTTCAAAATGGAGTGTGCTTTCTGGGAAACCCAGCCAGATGGGTGAATTATTATTATTATTATTATTATTATTATTATTATTATTCTGGAGGGGAGCTTACAGACATCTTACCCCATTATAGGTAAAAAGTGTGTGCAGTGACAGGGAGAAGCAAAGATTAACTTTTTACTACAAACCACACAAGTTTAGGGAATATGAAATTCTGGAATCCCCTGTCTGTGACTATCTAGCAATCAGGCAAGCTGTGATTTGGGCGCAGATCCTGCCACATCTCCCAGCCATGGTGTGGAGCCGGTGGCTGCCTGGACTGTGACACACACACACCCTCACCTCTCGCCTTCCTTTTTCTGCAGATTCTCCTTGGAGAGCGAAGCGGACCTCCGGGGGCCCCTGGAGACCCTGGGAATGAAGGACATGTTCGACGCAAGAAAAGCCAACTTCAGCAGCCTGTCAGGTCAGTCCCTTCTGATGCCTGTCTGAAGACCCTTCTGGGCATCTGCACCCCGGGGTGCCTGGTTGTAGCTCCCCAACTGCAGCATGTGAGAACGTGTTTCAGAGTTAAGGCAGCGATGCTTCTGAATTCCGGCTGCTGGAAACCACAGGAAGGGAGAGCTGCTTTTGTGCTGGGAAACCCTCCTTTGGGAAGCTGGTTAGCCCCTGTGAGAGCAGGGTGCTGGGCTAGGCCGGCCACGGGCCGGATCCAGCAAGCTCTGTTTTTGGAGGACAGGAGGCGGGCAGGTGTGGGGGACTCCCTGGTCCTGAATGGGGCAACTGTGCCCCTGAAGGACCAGGTGCGCAGCCTGGGAGTCATTCTGGACTCACCGCTGTCCATGGAGGCGCCAGTCAATTCTGTGTCCAGGGAAGCTGTTTATCAGTTCCAACTGGTACGCAGGGTGAGACCCTCCCTGCCCGCAGACTGTCTCGCCAGAGTGGTGCATGCTCTAGTTATCTCCCGCTTGGACTACTGCCATGCGCTCCATGTGGGACTACCTTTGAAGGTGACCCGGAAACTGCAACTAATCCAGATGCGGCAGCCAGACTGGTGACTGGGAGTGGCCGCCGAGACCCCAATACACCAGTCCTGAAAGATCTTCATTGGCTCCCGGTACATTTCTGAGCACAATTCAAAGTGTTGGCGCTGACCTTTAAAGCCCTAAACTGCCTCGGTCCAGTATATCTGAAGGAGTGTCTCCACTCCCATCGTTCAGCCCGGACACTGAGGTCCAGCTCCGAGGGCCTTCTGGTGGTTCCCTCACTGCGAGAAGCCAAGTTACAGGGAACCAGGGAGAGGGCCTTCTCGGTGGTGGCTCCCGCCCTGTGGAACGCCCTCCCAGCAGATGTAAAAGAGAAAAACAACTACCAGACTTTTAGAAGACATCTGAAGGCAGCTCTGTTTAGGAAAGCTTTTAATGTTTGATGTATTACTGTATTTTAATATTTGGTTGGAAGCCTCCCAGAATTATTATTATTATTATTATTATTATTATTATTATTATTATTATTATTATTAAAGCAATAACAAAGAGGTGCTGTTGAGCATGTGACGAGGGCCTTGGCCTGACCGCAGCCAGGTCCCAGACAACACAGGAAAGTCAAACAGCATTTTGGGGTGGAAAGGTTTTTAGGAGTGTGCTGCAGAAGCAGCCACCCGATCAGAGATCTGTTTTCTCCTTCCACAGTCCAAATAAAAATATATTGCACTGTTGCAGAGGACGCGACGGGGGCTATATTGATGCCCAGCTTGCTTTTAGCATCGTAGATTTTGAAAGGGTTCCCAAGGGTTGTCTAGTCCAACCCCACCAGCAACACAGGAATCACATCAACGGAATCCCTGGCAGATGTGCCTCCTGTCTCTGCTTGCTTAGAAACCTCAAATGACTCATAGAATTGTAGGGTTGGTTCCCCCAGTGGTCATCCAGCCCAACCCCACATGGGATGCAGGAATTGCAGCGAAAGAAGCCCTTGCAGCGCCCATCTGACCTCTGTTTGAAAACTCTCAGACACCCCAGCTGAGAACGAGGCAGCCTATGGCCCCCCATGCCCCCTCTTGCCCCTCTGCGGCCCCCTTTCCCTGCTCACTGCCTTGTCCCCCTTTGCAGACCAAGAATCCCTCTTCGTGGCTCAGGCCCTGCAGAAGGTGAAGATCGACGTGAATGAGAGCGGGACGGAGGCCTCCTCTGCCACAGGTGAGGGAGTCGTTGCTGGGAAAGGGTGACCCCCTTCTCCTTCCTGAAGTTGTATATTTTTTGGGGGGGGGAGTTTTGAAGCTGCTTATCAAAGCTCTGATCACCTTACTTCCCCTGGAGAAATGTTCTGAACTGCTTAATATTAAAACAGGTGAGCAATAAAATTCAGGTTGCAGTAAAGCCCGGGGGGGGGGGGAAGGGAAGGGTTGTCTCCAAAAGACACCTGGAGCAGGTGACCAAAGATGGAACCTCATCTACTGCATCGTCCCAAATAGCCGCGGCAGAAAATGCCCTTGTTAACCTCTCCCCTTTCCCCAAAGCAGAGCAGATGACCATTGACCCTATTGCTTAGGGGGTCTTTGGAGGTTTCATCCAGATACACCCCTCCCCCACCGCATCTCTTTCCTGGGGTGACCCCAAAGAGCCAGCTCAATTCCTGGGCTGCCTCCAGTTCCTCACATCAATGCAGCCCTCAAACTCCTCTTCCTTTCTAAAAATCTATTTTATTAATTGATAATGAAATATTGATAATATCAATTTTATTATCAAAATAAAAGGTAAAAGTAAAGGGACCCCTGACCATTAGGCCCAGTCACGTATGATTCTGGGGTTACGGCGCTCATCTCGCTTTATTGGCCAAGGGAGTGGCGTACAGCTTCCGGGTCATGTGGCCAGCAGGACTAAGCCGCTTCTGGCGAACCAGAGCAGCGCACGGAAACACCGTTTACCTTCCCACTGGAGGTATTTATCTACTTGCACTTTGACGTGCTTTCGAACTGCTAGGTTGGCAGGAGCAGGGACCGAGCAACAGGAGCTCACCCCGTCGCGAGGATTCAAACCGCCAACCTTCTGATCGACAAGCCCTAGGCTCTGTGGTTTGGACCACAGCGCCACCCGCGTCAACATACTATACAGTAAAATCCAAACTAAGCTAAACAGAATAATAAAAAAAGCAACATATCAATCAGAAAGAAAACTAAAGAGAAAGAGAAAGTAAGATGCAATAAGAATCCTGTTTCCTTTCCTCAGCTGTCATCATCTACGCCCGGATGGCCCCCCTGGAGATTGTGATGGACAGGCCCTTCCTCTTCCTTGTGCGACACAACCCAACCGGTAAGAGCGCTTTTCACAGAATCACAGAATCGTAGAGTTGGAAGGGACCCCTAAGGGTCATCTAGCCCAACCCCCCTGCAGGGCAGGAATTGCAGCTCAAGAATCTCTAATTCCCACGGCCACCCGATCTCCGTCCCCCTGTAAAACAACTCTCGCCTTCAGGACGTTTTTCCTGTTTGTGGTTTCGGTTCTGCAGAGAACAAGTTTGCTCCACCTTCGGGTGACAAACCCTGTAAACAGAGCAAGGTCTGCAACTGTGTTTGGGAATGGTGCAAGGCTGCCTCCTGGTGGCCACCTCTGGGACCACCCAGCCTTTTTCCTCCCCTCCAAGGCGGGAGTGACATTTGAACCCACCTATATTATTTAGTCATCAATGCATTTTATATCCCACCTTTTCCTGTGTTAATGGAGAAATCTGGGGGCTCCCCTGGACAAAAAACAAGGACCCCAGCCAGGAATCCCAGAGCAAAACAGCAGCCAGGAGGCTTGGTCTTGACTGAAGACTGTGGCGACAGGATTCCCACCTGCCACCAGGTGGAACAAGATGGAAGCCCCCAACAAAAGGGAACCCAAACTTTTATTAGCTGCTAATACCCATGCCCCCCCCCCAAATTACATCACTCATACATCACGGTTACATCACGAAAGGGGAGGTCAGGTGGCAGTAATCTGAGCATCCTGGACCCTGCCCCATGGTTCCCCTTGCCCTCCACCAAACACCCATCAAGTGGAACAAAAGAGATATTTCCATTTCCATGTTTCCCAGCCAAGTGAATCCCACCCTTTTGCCTTCATCTGGGTTTGGTATTTCTGGAATGGCTACCTGTCTGGCACTCAAGTATCAGGAGGCCAGGGATTATCACTCAGGCAGAGGGGCTGCTGAGTAGCTGAGCTCACACGTCTATAGGAATTTCTGGAGTTTTCCCAGTGAGCCAGTACAGAGATCCATTGATCAGTGAATTCTTACATTTGGTACTGTGCAGCAAAGGCACTTTGATGAAGTGTTTTGTGGGGACAAATCACAAAAGTGATTGTGGTGATTGTGATAGCGCATGATATCTGCTGGAGGGGCAACCCCCCCCCAGCCTATACATAAATTCCTGCAACACTTCTTTTTCTCTCCTTTATAGGCACCATTCCTGTTCATGGGGCAGGTGATGGAGCCCTGAGTGACCGCACCTCATTCAGCCAGAATCTCTCAGGAGCCGGAAGAAGTTTTTCCTCCCTTTCTGTTCCCCTCCCTCTACATTCCCCCAAACCCCAAAGAGAGACCTGCCGCCAGCCGTGACCTCCCTCCGCCCTGCTGCTGAGTGGTAGCACCAGGCGCAGCGCCCTCTCACCCCCCCCCAGGGAAGAAGCCTCAGTTGGTCTTTCGGCTGGGAAGAGGCTGCCAGCTCCGCTGCCCCCTGGGAGACCCGCTCTTCGGAAAGACGAGGCTCCCACCACGATGTCCGCACAGCCGCTTCTGCCTCCACCAGAGTCTTCATTGCTGGGGGGCCAGGGAGCGACTGAGCACCCTTGCTCACCCTCGGATGGGGTGGGCCTGTGGCCATGCCAAGAAATCCCCGATGATGTGTGCCCCCTACCTCACACTGGACTGGAACCCTGCCCAGTCAGGGCTAGTGGCTTCATTTGATGTTTACGCCGGAGTAGAGCAGGGATCTCTGCCTTCTCTCTTTATTATTATTATTATTAAGTATGTATGTATGTATGTGTTTGGAGTGGGGGGGATGAGGGTTGTGTGTCCCCCCCCATCGGATGTGGATGGGTGGGGGCTGCAGATTAGCACTTTGAATACGTCCATTTTCCTTCTGCACTGCTGAGATGGACATTTGTTATGAAGTATGTTTTGACAGAGAGGCTTAATATATGTTTGGCTTACTGTTTGAATTTAATGAAATACGTTGTTGGGGTGATGATGATGGTGGTGGAGATGTGGGCAACCTTCCCCTCCTCCTCCTCTTGTGCCCCCCTGAGGAAGGGCAGCATCTCTCCCGTGGGGCAAACCGCTCATTGCCGTTCCTTCTTGCTCTGGAAAGGGCTAAGAAAACTGCACGCATCTCCAAGCGCTCCCGAAAGTAATCTCCAACTTTCTTTCCAACCCAAACACGCCTGGCCTTAACACGGCCCAGTCTTCCTTACAGGGAGACCTTTGAGATGCTACGGATTCTGCAATCTCTGGCACACAGAAGGAGCCCTTTTGCCCAGACCCCCAAGAGCCATGGGGTCTTCACCAAGCAAAAAACCAGAGGCCTCTCTTTCGGAAACCCTGCCAAGTTTCGAGGCAAGCTTGCCGCGACCCACACGGGCCCAGAAGCTGCTGCGAATGGCGCTCTGCCAGCAGCGTTTGCCAGCCTGAGGGTCGTCCCCCCCCCTCCATTTCTGCTTAATGGCTCTCTGGCCCGAGTTCCCCCCGTCCTTGTGATTTCCCAGGACGGCTTCCAGTTAATTGTAAAAATGGCAGTGGGATTGCTGAGCCCAGCAGACGCGATGTTTTGCCCAGAGGCCTTGGCTGCCCTCCAAGTGGATTATCCCCTCCGGATCCGCTGAGCCGGGCGGCTGCCGGGGACCCCCCAGCGAGGGCCCTTGAAGGCTGAGCTTGGTACAAATTGGGGAGGAAGTGGAGGGCACCCCCCACATAGGTGGGGAAGGACGTCCCAAAGGAAAGGTGGTTTTGTGCAGCGTTGGCGCTGAAAGAGAGCAAACTGGAAGCGTTTGGGGAGCAAGTCAATTCTGAGCGCCCCCCTCCTCAAGAGGTAAAAGTGCCAGCATTTAGCTATTTAATTGGGGCCTGGGAGTCACCTTGAGATTCAGGTGCCTGATGATTTTAGCTGACTCAGGAGCACCCGTCTCTTGTGAGAGGGCGTCTGTTTTCCCCTCCATTGACCAATTGCCCCACGGCTAGTCTCTGCCTTGCACTTAGGGGTCACACCTGCCCCCTGCCCCCTTGCGCTGCCTCAAAAACCAGTATTTATACAGAGAGATCTAAATTCTAATCCTAGAGGAGGTTATTTTTTCACTTTTCTGTACAGAAATCTGATTTATATTTGTATGTATATAACTATTTCTATACGTGCGTTTGCGGGGAGAGTATTTTGCATTCTACTTTTGATAGGAAATAAAAACACTACGACCATCTTGGCGGCTGTGTCTGTCCTGAGTTTTCTCTTGAGCAAAATGGGTCCTGATTCTGGGCTTCTCCGACACCCCTGCAAGCCCATTCCCAAACCTTCAGGTTGGTGCAAACTACGGCAGCCTCTGGCACGGAGGGAAGAGAGACTCGGCTTATTGCCTAAAAGCGACTATAGGGCAGCCCCACAAAGCTCCCTCTTGCAGACCTTCTTCCTTCTGCTTCAGTCAGAGCCCCACTTCCTCTGCCACCCCATAGAAAGGTCCTGGCCTGCCTGGCACCACAAATGGGGGGTGGGCCAGTGAGATACTTATGCAGCCCCTAAGCATTTTCCTGGACGTTCTGAGGTTTTGCTGGCTGGGTGGTGAATTTGGGGGGAAATTGATTTATTTTTTGACAGGGTTTTGTTCTGGGTTGCTGTGTGGGATATTTATTCATTGCACTGGTACCCCCACCTGTTCTCCCCCCAAGTATCTCCAGGTGGCATCACGGGGTTCTCCCGCTTCCTCCTTTAATTCCCACAACAACCCTGTGAGGTTGACTAGGCTGTGAGAGGCAGGGACTGGCTCCTCAGGGTCACCCAGGGATTCGAACCCAGGCCTCTCCTGGCTCTTAGTCCAGCAATCATAGAAACAGAGAATCGCAGAGTTGGCAGGGACCCCCAGGGGTCATCCAGCCCAACCCGCTGCCTGCAATGCAGGCATCTCAGCTGAAGCATCCCAGACAGAGGGGCCCCCAACCTCTGCTGAAAAACCTCCAAGGAAGGAGAGCCTGCCCCCTCCCAAGGGAGACCCTTCCGCTGTAACCACTCCACTCCACCACCGCCTCTTATGAAAAAGAAATGAGGGGGAGGGGAGAGGGAAAAATGGATTGCATGTGGCTTTGTAAGGGGGTAGAATAAGTGGGTTTGAAGTGACCTGAGGCTGGAAGGGACCCCCAGAGGTCATCCAGCCCAACCCCATGCAGTGCAGGAGCTGCAGATGGAACTCATGGGGACTTGAATGGCGAGGGGTGGGGAGGTCAAGAAGGAGGAACTGGATGGGGGAGAGCGGGGGGGGGAGCAAGTGTTTATAGGATTGGAGAGCTGGAAGGGACCCCCAGGGGTCATCCAGCCCAACCCCCTACTTGCAATGCAGGAATCTCAGGGCCCCCAAACCTCTGCTGAAAAACCTCCAAGGAACTGTAACCACTCCACTCCACCACCGCCTCTTATCAAAAAGAAATGAGGGGGAGGGGAGAGGAAAAAATGGATTGCATGTGGCTTTGTCGGGGGGGGGGCAGAATAAGTGGGGTTGAAGTGAGCTGCAGCTGGAAGGGACCCCCAGGGGTCATCCAGCCCAACCCCATGCAGTGCAGGAATCCTGCCCACAGCAGACCCTGGGTTGGGGGCTCATAAATCAGCATATGCAAGTGGGGGGGGGTCTTCAGTTGCGCCCCTTTCCCCTTTCCCCCACCCACCGGAGGAGACGCCTCCCTTCCCTCTCAGCCTCCCTCCCGGATGACGTCACCGGAGGAGGCCCCTCCCTCCTGCTCCTCTCCGGCTTCCCCGCCCCTCCCGTCGCCCGGGGAGACAGGCCCCGCCCCCGCCCGGTTGCCTTGGCGACGGGGAGCGAGCGGGCGCCCCTCCCGCCCCGGAAGCGGGCGCCGCAGTGCGCAGGCGCGGGCTCGGGGCGGGGGGCGGGTCCCGGCCGGGAGGCACCTGGGCAGGTTCGGGCCGCGGAAGAGGAGCCGGAGGGCCGCAGGGGCCGCGCCGAACGGCCCGCCACGGAGCGACGCCCGACATGGTGAGCGGGGGGGGGGGCGGGGAGGAGCCCCCACCCGGCGCCCCGTGGGGAGGAGAGGGGGGCTGGCTCCCACGTGGCAGGGCGGCCACTTCCGGCCCCGGGTGCAAGGGGGGGCTGGATCCTTCCCGGGAGAGGGGGGCAGAGGGACCCCTCTCCTCCTCCCTCCAGAGCAAGGGCGCCTCTGAGCATGGGCAGACGGCGGGGAGAGGAGCGCCCCGGGGGGCTTGGCAGGCGGAAGAGATCCCCCCCAAAGGAAGACCCCACAGATCCGCGGCGGCGGCGGCCCCTACGGGGAATGGGGGTCCCCAGCGAGCGCGGGGTGACCCCCAGCAAGGCTTTGAGTTGCTCACCCCCGCCCCACAAAGCCAGCCGGTCCCCTGGGTGGGGGTCCGCTGCGCCCCCCATCCCTCCCTCCCTCCTCGCAGCGCCCCGGGGGGTCTTTGAGCCGAGGATCGGGGGGTTTCCGGAGCCCCCTCCCGCTGCCCCCCCCCGGCGCCTCCGCCCCGCCCCACGGATAAGGCACGTCCTGGTCGGCTTCGCCTGCCAGCTCCTTCCCCCCTCCTCCTTGGCCATTAGCGGAATTGGCTGGCGAGGCCTCTGGGGTGGGGAGAGACTGGGGCAAAGGCAGCACTTGGGGGGCAGGATTTCCGGGTGTGCTTTTTATCAAGGGGGGGGCGCTGATAAAGAGGCAAGGCTCGCTCAGTTAGGAAAGCAGGAGATTCTGGGTCTCAAGGTTGTGGGTTCAAGTCTCCTGCCTTGCAGCGGGTTGGACTAGATGACCCTGGGGGTCCCCTTCCAACCCAATGTGTGGATTTGGGGTCACCGCCTTTGCCCGCCTGGAAGCCCTCCAGGCGTTTGGAGCCAGCCCAGAGGGAAGTGGCGCCTAGTGGGTGTTGCAAAGCCCCTGCTCGCTCTCTCCCACTGCCGGGAGTGGCTGCCTCTTCCTACCTGAGCCACCCCTCCTGACTCACCTGTTGAGACTTGTTGGTGACTCTCCCAGGGAGGGTTGCTCAGCTGCGCTCGACCCGCCTTCCCTCCGACGCACGCAGCTGCCACCAGGAGCGCATCGATGCCCTGCGGAACTCCCTGCCACAGGAGCCAAGGGGTGGCTTTAAAAGGCAGATTCCTGGAGGAGGAGAGGGCTAGCTGTGGCCACGGTTGTAGATCCCAGTTTCAGGAAACCCCAGGAGGCGAGAGGGGTCCTGTGGAGCTCAGCTCCGCCTTGCTGGTTTCCCGTAACTGGGGTAACTGGTCGGCCCCAGTGAGAGCAGGAGGCTGGACGAGAGATGAGCTTTTGGCCAGATCCTAGGAAGAGGAAAGCGATCCTTTTGCCAGAGGGGCTATGGAAGGGGGAGAGCCTCTATTATTATTATTATTATTATTATTATTATTATCTCTCCGGCAGAAGGGGGTGTCAGACGAGTCCGGAAAGGGAGTGGGGCCCGGACTCCTGGGTTCTTTAGGAAGAGGAGGGGGAACCTGGGAATCTGGGGTGGGGGGTCAGTCTTTGTGGATTGGCTTTTTTTATTTATACTGCATTTTTAATTATTACTCATTTATTGTTTACTGGTTTTGTACGCCGCCGTAGATCTCAGAACTGTGACATAAAATCTGCAAAATGCATAGTAAAAGTAAGAATAAGAAGAAACCAAGGACCACTCCCCTAATTCCCCCAACCCTTTTTTTTAAAAACCACCCTGAGATTTGCAAGGGAAGGACTGTGGGAAAATGTAATAAATGAATGAATTTTCGTTCTGCCTCTGAAGGGGGCAATTCTGATCTGTACCTGCTTTTTGGGAGGCTGCGTCTGTGTGACCCCCACCCAAAAGAAACCTTGGAAGGGCCTCATTCTGTGCTTTCAGGGGACCCCCCTTGCTTTGCGGGATATAATTTTCTTGGTTTTGGGGGGGGGTTGCTGCTTGCTGCCATAGGAGGCCCCCGACCTCCCACCTTGCAGGATATAATTTTCTTGGGGGGGTTGCTGTTTGCTGCCATAGGAGGCCCCCCTGACCTCCCACCTCTCCTCTCCGCCCCCCCCAGATGCGCTTCATGCTCCTCTTCAGCCGCCAGGGCAAACTGCGCCTCCAGAAGTGGTACCTGGCCACGTCCGACAAGGACAAGAAGAAGATGGTGAGGGAGCTCATGCAGGTGGTCCTGGCGCGGAAACCGAAGATGTGCAGCTTCCTGGAGTGGAGGGACCTCAAGGTGGTCTACAAAAGGTGACTCTCGAACCCGCTCCCCACCCGCTGCGACTCCGGGTTGGGCTGGATGACCCCTGGGGGTCCCTTGCAACACTGCGATTCTTGGAAGGTGGCAGCCTCTCCTCCACTGGAGGTCTGCCATCAGGGACCCTTCGGCTGCGACTCCTGCGTTGCAGCGGGTTGGGATGGATGACCCCTGGGGGTCCCGTTCCGTCTTGCCCACAAGAGCGTCAGGAGAAGGTTTGGAGGCCGGAAACGGGCGTGGAAAAGGCCAGGAGGAAGCAGAGGAGCCTTTGTCTGGCTCTGGGCTGCTCTGCCAGGGAAAAGTGTGTTGCGGGTGTGGTGCCTGCACCGAGAAGGCCCTGCCCTGCTCCTGTGGGAGGAGGTCCCTTGGCCCATGAGGGGCACCACTTTCTCTGGGCCCCCAGCCCCCACCTTGAAGGGGGTGACCTGGTTGTCTCTTTCTCCATAACTGCCCTGGGGTGTGGATTGGAAAGCCCCCCCCAAGCTTTGCTCACCCTGAGTTGGTCCCTATCCATTCGGGGGGGGCAGTCTCATTCTCTCTCTCTCTTTTGAGGGGGGCAGGAACGGAGAATAAGCAGCCCCCTCCCTAGGGAATGAGGGACTCTTAGACCCACAAATTGCTTTATCTCCGGCAAGAGTGGGGGAGCCCCAGACCCAGAGGCTGCGTGTGGCCCCCCCATTCCCTTCTGTGTGGCCCTTGCCAGCTCTTCTTTGTGTTTCTTTTCCCGGCTGATTCCCTCGAACTCTGCTGGCGTCTCTTTCTTGGCTTCGCAGAGGGAGAAGTCTCAGCAGGAACTACCCCACTGTACAATACTAAAATATATATTTTTAACAGCAACAGCTCCGCCCCCTTTTACCTCTGGCCCCGCCCCCTGGAGTGTGTGGCCCTCAGAGGCTTGCCCAGAAGCGGAAGGTGGCCCTCGGTTTCTCTGTGCTCTGAACCGCCTCGCAGGGCTGTGCTGAAGGGAGAAGCCTTCTGAGCCTAGCTGTCAACTTTCCCCTTTTCTTGCGAGGAATCCTATTTGGAATAAGGGAATTTCCCTTTAGGAAAAGGGAAACGTTGGCAGCTATTCTTCTGAGCTGCCCAATGAGACTAATTGCCCCATCACTGCTGCTGTGGGGCAGAGGGTGGGGTGGGCAGGTGAACTCCAGGTGACGAGCACCTTTCTAGGGGTGCCTGCAGGGACAGCCTTGTCCTGCAGGGGGCGGACTGAGCTCATCTTGGCTCCTCTGTGGCCAAAGGGGGCCTCTGCAGCTGCGCACGGGGTTAATAAGGGCCCTGTGCCCCACACACCCCACACCTGGCCAGCATAGGTACCTGCTTTGGCCCCCCCCACCTGGAAATGGTCGCCCCAGGGAGGGCAAGGCAGGCTTGGGTGGTGGTGGGCAGCTGGCGGCCTCTTCAAGGGGGCGCGGTGGGGAGGGGGAGGGGGCTGCCCCCCAGGTGAGCCAGGCAGCAGCAGCAGAGCTGGAGTCCTGACCCCCTTTTTCCGCCCTCCTGCCCCAGGTACGCCAGCTTGTATTTCTGCTGCGCCATCGAGGGCCAGGACAACGAACTCATCACTTTGGAGCTCATCCACCGATACGTGGAGCTGCTGGACAAATATTTTGGCAGCGTGAGTTGTGGGGAGGGGCTTCTCCTGGGGGTTGGGCTAGATGACCTTCGGGGGTCCCAATTCTAGGATTCCGTGACTGCAGAGCGCCCTTTTCCTGCTTCTTTGTTGGTGTAAAAAGCACCAGCATTCCACCCCCCCCTCTCTGTATGTGTAGGGGGGGGGAGACTTTATCTCATCTCTCTCCTTTCAGTCCTGAACCCTAGAGCAGAGGTGCTTAGAATAATAATAATAATAATTTATTATTTATTCCCCAGCCACTCTGGGCGGCTTCCAACAAAAGATTAAAAATACAAGAAAACATCAAAAACTTCCCTAAACAGGGCTGCCTTCAGGTGTCTTCTAAAGGTCAGATACAGTGGACTCTCAGGTTGCGAATGTGATCCGTGCTTGAGGCACGTTTGCAACTTGCAGCGTCCGCAAACCAGCAGCGCCACGTCTGTGCATGCGCGGGTTGCGCTTTGGCGCATATGTGAAGCACGATTTAGCACTTCTGTGCATGATCCGTAACCCAGAAGTAACCTGTTCTGGTACTTCCGGGTTCGGCATGGTGCGGAACCCAAAAACGCGCAACCCAAAGCGTCTGTAACCCGAGGTATGACTGTAATTGTTTATTTCCTTAATAATAATAATAATAATAATAATTCATTATTTATTCCCCAGCCACTTGGGCGGCTTCCAACACAACACTAAAATACAATAACCTATTAAACATTAAAAGCTCCCCTCAACAGGGCATCTGGTGGGAGGGCGTTCCACAGGGCGGGCGCCACCACCGAGAAGGCCCTCCGCCTGGTTCCCTGCAACCTCATTTCTCGCAGGGAGGGAACTGCCAGAAGACCCTTGGCGCTGGACCCCAGTGTCCGGGCGGAACAATGTATACTTCAGATATACTGGGCCTTTGAGGCCGTTTAGAGCTTAGAATAATAGGATCGTAGAGTTCGATGGGACCCCAGTAGTTCGATGGGAACCAGCAGTAGTAATCACAATAATATTCATTTGTTACTTGATAAATTGGGTCTGCCACTCTGGGCAGCTTCCAGCAAAAGATTATAAACACTGCGTGAGACGTCAGACATGAAAAGCCCGCGGAATCCCAGCAGGAGAGCCCTGTGTTTTCCAGCGACTCGTACCCAGAAGCTTTGCTGTCTCCAATTGTCTTGTTCTCTTCTGAAGCCAACCGGGTTGTTGGGTGTCACTGTCTCCAGTGGCAGGGAGTTCCGCAGTTCCGCTCTGCACCAGAAGTTTTCTCCATCCTGAACCTTCCAGCGTTCAGCTCCGTTTAAGCTGAGGCAGTTGGAGGGCACCGGCAGACCTGGGGGGGGGGGTCCTAAGAGGTTCTGGGCTCCCCGCCCCCTGCTCCCCCCCCAACAGCAGAGTTTTTGACCTGCGGCTGTGGGGAGGCAGGAGGGCAGAGGCCAGACCCCGCCGCTAATTACTCTTGCGGTCATTTTGATTCCTTAATCCGCCCCCCCCCCCACTTCCCTGCCCCATAGAAAGCCTCCCTCCAGCCTCCCTCTCCTAAGCCTGCTCTTAGACCCACAAAATCCAGCTAAGCATGGCTGCTAATTGGGCTTAATGAGGGCTTGGCAGCCGCCCCAGCTAATTCCTGCTGCTAATGCGCCAGAGCCGCTTCTCTGCCCCCCCCCCCGAAACTCAGCCAGATTGGAGGGTCAGGATCCTGGGCATAGCTGTCAACTTTCCCCTTTTCTTGCGAGGAATCCTGTTCAGAATAAGGGAATTTCCCTTTTTAAAAAGGGGGGGAATTGACAGCTGTGCTCCTGGGAGCGGTGGGGGGGGTTGGTGTGTTGGGGGGCCCCTGCTTGGTTCTCACACCCCCTTTCTCCCCCTGCCCCCCAGGTGTGTGAGCTGGACATCATCTTCAACTTTGAGAAGGCTTACTTCATCCTGGACGAGTTCCTGATGGGGGGAGAAGTTCAGGACACCTCCAAGAAAAGCGTCCTCAAAGCCATTGAGCAGGCGGACCTCTTGCAGGAGGTAGAGGTGGGCCCCTGCATGGGGGTCCTGCATGCCTCAGCCGTGGGGGGCGGCAAGGACTGGGGGGGCCCTTCTCCCTGCACCCCCAAAGATAAACCATACACTTCCCTCCAGCTGTGGGGCCAAGCAACCTGCCGCCGTGGCCATGCCTGGTTTTGTGTCTGCTTCCGCAGAGGAATTTTTTTTGGGGGGGTGTTGCTGCTGGAGGAGCCCCCCAAGATAGCTGCCTTCCTGGCTGCTGCTTTCTGCATGCCATGAGTCACCGCCAGCCATCGCTCCCTCTCTCTGCAGTGGGCGTGAGCGACTCAGCCGCCTGCCGCTGGGGCCGAGTGCAAATCCTCGGGGGTGGGAGGAAGGAGACGCAGCAGCCTTGGCACCCCCAGCCGCTGCCACCCCCCACCCCCGAAGAAAAAAACCCCATGCATGGTGGACATTGGCGCAGCTGGAACCCCCAAGCCCTTAGAATGGAAAAAGGCCTTGTTAGTTGCTCTATGGGGCGTCAAGAGCACCTCTGAGCAAGCGCAGAAAGCCTTCCCTCCCCCGGGAAGTGTCAGGGTAGTGGTTGGGCTGGGGGTCTTTTGGGGAGGGGGGCAGGCTGCTTCCCCCCCCCCACTTCCCGCTCCCCTCCTCTGAACCCGCCTCCCCTCTGCTTCTCTCCCCGATACAGGAAGACGAGTCGCCCCGGAGCGTTTTGGAGGAGATGGGCTTGGCGTAGACTTGGGATCGTGAGCCGGCTCCCCCCCCCCTTGCCCCCGCCCCTCGCGCCCCTTTGCCCCCCACATGCAGTGGGGCTGAGAGCCTGTGGTGGCCGCGCAAGCTCTGCAGCCGGCCTCCTGGCCAAGGAACCTGCAAACCGCACGATGTAAATACCGAACCACCAGCTGGGGGTGGGGTGGGGGTGCCCTGCGCCAGAGTGTTGGGGGGGGGGCAAGGAGGCATTTTGCCCCCGGCTGTTGGGGGGCAGAGAGAGAGAGAGAGAGAGCGCAGCGTGGAATTCAGGGGCACCGAATGATCTCCATTCTCCACCTTTTTTCCTGTGCCCCTCCAAACTCTCCTACCGCCCCCCCAGCACCCCCAATCTGTTCACACCAGCAACGTGGCACTTCCTGCCGCCCCCAAACCTGTGACTCACCCGGGCAGCATGTGACGGATCCCAGAGGAGGGGGGGCAGCAGCAGCAGCAGCGCCTCTGCCTTCTTCCCTCCCTTTCCCTCTTTCTCATTTTTTGTTGTTGGGGGGGGCAGGCGCCCCACATGCATGTGGGGCACGTGGACGCAGGTAGCCAGAGATTCGGAGGAGCCTGCCGTTTGGAAGACCAGCAGCCCCCCCCCGACTTTGGGTGCCTGTATTCCCTCCGCTCTCTCCCCCCCCAGCCCCTTTCCAATAAGGCATGATCTTTCCGGACCCAAGGCGTGAGTGCGAGTGTCTTCTCTGTTTTGGAATAAAGCGTGTGAGGAAGACGGTGGCCTGGCTGTGGTTCTTGCCCCTCCAGCGCAGACTTGAGATGCTTCCAGCCCCAGCTCAGAAGGGGGGGGGCAGAAAGAGCAGAGGGGGTCCAGCCCGGAGGTCGCTTGGCACGGCTGGCGGAGGTGCAGGTCATTTGCCGTCGTACAGGAGGAGCACCTGAGCATAAACAGGGTTCATCTGCATCGCTCTTAGAATTGCGGAGTCGGAAGGGAACCCCAGGGGTTCATCCAGCCCAACCCGCTGCGAATGCAGGAATCGCAGTGAAGGAATCCCTGGCAGGGGAGCCCTCCATCCGCTTTTCCAGGCCGGGAATGTTTTGCCTGGAAGAGAGGAGATGAAAGAACCGTTTCCAAGCACCTAAAGGGCTGGAGTATGGAGCAAGCCTGTTTTCTCCTGGTCTGAAGGGTAGGACTCGAACCCACAGCTTCAAGTTACAAAAGAGGTGATTCTGGCCAAACGCCAGGAAGAACTTTTCTGACAGTAAGAGCTCTTCAACAGTGAAACAGACTCGCTCAGGAACGGGTGGACCCTGCTTCCTTGGAGATCTTTAGGCAGAGATTGGATGGCCATCTGTCAGGGATGCTTGAGCTGAGATTCCGGCATTGCAGAGGGGGTTGGGCTGGATGACCCTCGGGGTCCCTTTCGACTCTACAAGTCTATGATTCTAAGGGAGTTCGTTTCACCGTCAAATGGCTCTTAGCCTCCTACTGTTTATTCAGAAGCTCCTTTCTCGCAACTTGAAGCCATGGGTTCGGGTCCTGCCCTCCAGAGCGGGAGAAAAGAAGTTTGCTCCCTCTTCCATGTGACAGCCTTTAAGGAATTTGAAGCCGTCTACCGTATCACCTCTCATAGTCTCTTTTCCAGGCTAAACATCCCCGGCTCCTTCAACCGTTCCTCATCAGGTTCGTTTCCCAAACCCCTGACCATCTCTCAGCCTACCTTCCAGCTTGCCAATCTCCTTCCCAAACTGGCTGCCCAGAACTCCATCCGGGGGTCTGACGGAGGCATCACCTGGGGGAGGGATCTGACTCCCCAAATCTTTCAGGAAGAGGAACCCCAGGAGCCAAAGCTATTGAGGTGGGTGAGCTTTGCAAGAGGCCATCTGCCCACTGAGGTGAGCTTTGCAAGAGGCCAGCTGCCCATTAAGATGAGCTTTGCAAGAGGCCAGCTGCCCACTGAGATGAGCTTTGCAAGAGAGCAGCTGCCCATTGAGAGGAGCTTTGCAAGAGCTTTGCAAGGCCAGCTGCCCACTGAGATGAGCTTTGCAAGAGAGCAGCTGCCCATTGAGAGGAGCTTTGCAAGAGGCCAGCTGCCCATTGAGATGAGCTTTGCAAGAGCGCAGCTGCCCACTGAGATGAGCTTTGCAAGGGCCAGCTGCCCATTGAGAGGAGCTTTGCAAGGGGCCAGCTGCCCACTGAGAGGAGCTTTGCAAGAGGCCAGCTGCCCATTGAGAGGAGCTTTGCAAGAGGCCAGCTGCCCATTGAGATGAGCTTTGCAAGGGGCCAGCTGCCCACTGAGATGAGCTTTGCAAGAGGCCAGCTGCCCATTGAGAGGAGCTTTGCAAGGGGCCAGCTGCCCACTGAGATGAGCTTTGCAAGAGGCCAGCTGCCCATTGAGAGGAGCTTTGCAAGAGGCCAGCTGCCCATCAAGATGAGCTTTGCAAGAGGCCAGCTGCCCATTGAGATGAGCTTTGCAAGAGGCCAGCTGCAAACCCAGCTCCTTCAACCGTTCCTCATCAGCCACGGTTTCCAGACCCTTGATCATCTCAGTCGGACCTCCTCTGCCAAACAACATCCTAGCTTGACAACATCTTAAATTTTATCACCCGTCCTTTGCCAGCGGGTCCAAATTCTAAAATCCGGAATTGAAAAAGGCTTAAAAGAGGTTGCAGCCACAGGAATAGGGTGGGCCCTGAAAACACAGGTGCCTTCGGTGCCGAGGTTCACCAAAACGGAGGTGCTTGGGAGTTGTAGTTTGGGGGCTGCCAGAGGAGACCCACCTTCTGAGGATAGTCGAGTTGCCAGGAGGGCATCGAAATCACCTGGGGTTGAAGGCCTGCAAGGGAGGAGGCGGTCTCTCAGGTCTTTGGGGCTTAAGGCGGGCGATGATCACCTTGGGCCCCACCTGGGAGCAAACTGGCAACCCATGGGGGGTTTGTGGCTGCTATGTGGGGCAGAGGGGGGAGAGGAGGGCCGGGAAGAGAGGGCCGGTTCACTCTTGTGGAGATCGCTTTGTGGGCCGGATTGCGTCTCCATGGATGCGATTTTCGGCACTGCGGAAGCGAGTCCCTGCTGTGTCGGTTTTGCACAGCGCGCAGAGACTCGCCGAGCCAGCAGCTCAGTTTGGGGGCTACTCGTGGGCCATTTAAATGACTTCCATGGGCTGTTTGTGGCCCAAGGGCCACAGGTTGCTGACCCCTGCTCTACTCCCAGATCAAGTGGGCCGCAAAACTACTCCCACACTCCACCCCTGGGCTGCACACCGCATTTGTCATGGGGGGCAGGAGCGAGTGCAAAATTTTTATGCCCCCTCTGGCCCTTTCCCTGCCTTCCCAGTGTCAGATAAATGAGGCACTGGGCTTTGGGAAGGAGGTGCTCAGGACAATGTACGTTTGGGCACATTGGGGGTTTTGGGACGAGCTTCGTGAGTGCCCCTCCCTGCCTCTAGTCCTCCCTCTCTCTCACACCCCAACCCCCCCCCCCCCAGCAGAAAGAAAGCTAGAGCACCTCACTTTGGTTTTCCAGGGGATCTGGTTGAAAGTCTGATCCGGCGAATTAAACCCGAGCGCACAGATCTGAAAGAGGACGTTGAGAAGAACAACCCTCTTCCAACTTCCTCCTGGAGTTCTTTGTGGGTGCCAGGAATCACAGAATCAGAATCGTGAAGTTGGAAGGGACCTTGAGGGTCATCCAGTCCAACCCGCTGCAATGCAGGAATCTCAGCTTTATTACTATTATTACTATTATTATCATTGTCACTGTATAGTGGAGCCCAGTCCCCTGGCACAATTCCCCCTGTGCCCTGCACAGCTTGGCCGCCTGGTCTTAGCAGGAGAGGTCATTCTAACAGCCACCTCAGGCCTGGCTTGTTGGAAAACCAACCCTGCTGTGGCTGCTGGGAGCTGGAGAGGAAATTTGGGTGGGCTGGGGGTGAATGCAACGGGGGTCTCCTTGTGGGGAGGAGGAGGAGGGAAGGAGATGCAAAAACCCAAGAGATGACCCAAACTGAACCCCAAAGCCAGGGGTCAGCAAACCTTTTCAGCAGGGGGCCGGTCCACCGTCCCTCAGACCTTGTGAGGGGCCGTACTATATTTTGGAAAAAATATTCCTACGCCCCACAAATCACCCAGAGATGCATTTTAAATAAAAGCGCACATTCTTCTACTCATGTAAAAACACGCTGATTCGATTGGGCTGGATCCGGCCCCGGGGCCTTATGTTGCCTACAGAGGAGCCAACTCCTAAGGTCCCTTCAGCTACCCAATAAAATATTTGAGGCGGGCAGGCGCCCCCAAAGTTGATGGGCATTGCCATTCAAATGGTGTGTGTGTGCACAGCGTCGTGTATCGATTATGTCGGGTGGGGCATACTTCCCCCTCCCCCCAATATTTTTAATTCAAGTTGGCACCATCGGTGGAGGGGACAGCCAGCCCACCGCGTCTCGCCCAGTTTTTGCTAAAGGCCATCAGAAGGGTTTAAAATGGGTGGGTGTGGGGAGGACCCAGCCTGCATAAATCTCGGGACCCCACAGTTAATTAATGTATCTGGGAGCAGACGCAGCCAAGATCTCTGCAGGCTGATCTCCCATGGAAACGTTCACCGGGACCCCCGAGGTCTCTGCAGCTCCCAATCCCGGCTCGGATTAACCCCCGATGAGAAAGGCGTCGGGCTCCTTCGAAAGTGAAGTCCACGTTTTCCCAGCATCCTGAGACCCGCTCCCTCTGGGTTTTCGCCCTCGACGGAAGCGGGGGGGAGGAAGAAAAGGAGCCTCCCACCGGGACTGGGGACCCCCCGTTTTCTATCAGCCCCGCCCCGTGGAATGCAACAGAGGCACAAGGTAATAATGCTCCACATTTTAAAAACAAAAACCCGCGGTTGTTGTGAAATAACCCACAAGCTCCCTGGCTTTTTCATTCGGAGCAAATAAGGGGGTTGGGGTTTTTTTTGGGGGGGGTAGTTTAGAGAAGGGCTTTTTGTGTTTCCTCGCTTAAGTTAGAAGTTTCCAGCAAGCTAACTCCTGACTCTCTGCTTCCCCGCAAACTCCGCGGTGTTGGGGGGGGGCGATTTCTGCTCCCGAGGACCAGGCAGCCCCCGCGCAGAGAGAGGAAGATGCTTCAGACCTTCTGCCTTTCCCCCAGAGAGCAAGCCCACCTGCCCCCTCTATCCCCCTCACAACAACCCTGTGAGGCCCCATCTCGAGTGGGGGGCGCTCTGACCCACGTGGTGCCCAAGATGGCCGCCCCCCCCACCGCTCTCCTCGGCTCCCTCTGCGGGGAAACCTGGACACCGACCGGGTGGTCCGCTTCGTCGGGCGGGCTAGCGCTGCCCCGCGTCCCCCTCGGCCTGTGAGGCAAAGGGGCGGACCAGCTCCAATTGGTCCGGCCCTCCCTGGCACGCTGTTGACTCCGTCGTGGGGGGCCTGCATCTCCTTCCTCCCCCCCCCACCCCCACCCCACCGCAAAGCTATTTTTGGGAAGAGCCTGTGTGGCGTAAGGGTTAAGAGTGTTGGACGCAGCCTCGAAGCTCTTCGTGTCGCCCACCTCGCAGGGTTGCTGTGAAGGTGCAATGAGGAGGAGGCCTCCTACGCCGCACGTTTGGGTGGGTGGGTGGGGGGCTTCCTCCCCCCTCGGTCTGCTCCCCACTTGGCTTGCTGCCCTGCCGCACCCCAGGGGCGGAATTTGGCCATTCAGATTCCAGGGGGCGCCCCGTGAGACGCCCAAAGCCGCGCCATCTCCCCGCACTTTCTCCCTTCGCTCGGGGTCCTTGTTGCGCCCCCCTAAATCGCCAGCCCAAGGAAAGGAGCGAGAAAGCGGGTTCGCCGTCGGGGGCTTCTCTTGCAATGATGCCGAAGGACCCCCGGCCTTCGTCAAGGGGGCGGCAGCAGCAGCAGGAGGAGGAAGGAGCGCGCTCCGCTCTTTGGGACCCGATCCAGCAGCAGGGCGCCTCTTCTTGCCCCTTGAGGAATGTGCCACGTGGTGTCGGTGGGGCTGGGAGGGGCTCCCGGTCTCCCCACTGGACAGCTGCCCAGGAGACCCTCCCGAGTCCCGCGCCGCAAGTCCCGCGAGACCCTCCCCTCCAGGCCGGCATGTGGGGTGGGCGGCCGAGAAGGGGGCGGCCCCAGGGGCGAGGCCCGAGCCGGGAGGCGCCTTTCTGTCCCCCTGCTGCGTCGGGTCGGCTCTTCGGGGAGTTTTCCGGCGCGGGTGAGCGGCGGTGGGCGGTGGGGGCTAGTCGCTTCGTCTTGCCCTCCTCCGAACCCCCCAACTCCGCCTGCCTCGGGTCCGGGCTGTGGCCCTGCAAGGGGGCGGACGAGGCGACCCTAGCGGGATGGGAAAGTGTGGGGTTCCCATCCGCTGCCTTGGGGAAGGCCTGATTTTTTTTGGGGGGGGGGGACAGGGCTCCTCAGTCCTGAAACCCTAACCCCCCCGCCCCGAGGTGCAAATCCGGAGTTGCCTCCTCCAGCTCTGCGCAGAGCGAGCTCAGAATATCCCGTGACTCAGTTTAGGGTCCAGAGGTGCAACGCAGCTCCTCCCCACCCGCCTGAAAGCGCAGCTGTTTCCGGGAGGGGGGGCGCGGGCGGCTGGTCCCCTTAGAACAGGAGTTCTCAAAACTTTTTTTCCTTGGGCCGCACTTTCACCAAAAAAAAAAAAAAAAAATAAATCTGCTAGCGCCACGCTGAACTTTTTCGTCGCAGAACGAAAAGAAAGAATTATAACACAGGGACACAACTGCTTTATGATACCATCGCAGACGGGACGTCCAGAAAGGATGAAATAACGCAGCCACACAAGGACACGAATTTTTCCCAAAATATCATATTGATGGTCCGCCGCTCTTGCCATTCTCTCCTGCCCCCCCCCTCGAGAACCGCTGCGTTCAGCACTTGCAGCAAAAAAATCACCTGGCGATGCCTTGAGCCCCTTTGTTTCTGCACAGATTTTCACAGGTGCCCTAAGTTTTATCCTGAGTTACAGGTATGTATATTGGGGGGGTGGGGTGCTGGGGAGTGTTTGTGTGTAAGCAGGGAGGTCAGAGAGAATTCGGCATTTCTTTTGCCTGTAACCTCTCTGCTTACAATCCCTGCAACAAAATCCCTGTGTATATATACCTATAATTCAGGGTAACACTTCATGGAGCAGATGGAATTGGACTGGGCAAGACTGTGCCATAACATATTTCGTTGTTTTTTCTCAAGTGTGTAGGTGGGTAGGTTCAGCCGCCACTCTGTACATGCTCAGAAGCCGGTTCTGGAGCTAGGACCTGTTGACCTCTTCCACCTCCCACACCCAGCCCAGTTCAAGACACTTAGAAGAAGCAGGAACTGCTCCCGCTCTCTCAGACACTTTTCTGGGGCTGCCTCTGCCTTTGGGGCAGGAACACAAATGCATCTCAGAATCTTCCAAAATGTTTTAAATTTGGGAAAGTTGCATCCCACCCGCACCTGCTTCCCCGGCTTGAATCATCCTTTGTGAGCTGCCTTGGAGGACTTTCCTAGCTGAAACCCAGCGCGGGAATAAACTTCAACATGGCCTGGCACGCTTCCGAATGTCAGCTGCTGGAACCGCTGGAGGAGAGAGTCGCTTGGGCACTTGCTGGTTAGCCACAATGCAAGCAGAATGCTGGATGAGTTGGGCCACTGGCCTGATCCTGCAGCCTCTTGGGATAAGTTCATGCCTCTGCTGGGTGTGGAGGTTACGAGAGGGATTTTTAGGGCTGTGTGATATACAGTGGTACCTCGGGTTACATACGCTTCAGGTTACAGACTCCGCTAACCCAGAAATAGTACCTCAGGTTAAGAACTTTTCTTCAGGATGAGAACAGAAATCGCGTAGTGGTGGTGTGGTGGCAGCAGCGGGAGGCCCCATTAGCGAAAGTGGTACCTCAGGTTAAGAGCAGTTTTAGGTTAAGAACGGACCTCCAGAATGAATTAAGTTCTTAACCCAAAGTGCCACTGTATTGACATATTGTCCAAAACCGGTTTGACATCCATATTGTGATACCAGTTTCATAATTGTTGACCCGGCAAAAGTATTGCAAATCATGAGGTGTCTCTGCTATGCAAAAATCACAGCGTGGGGAAACCTGTGAAGCCGGCCAATGTTTCTCTCGGTTCCTTCAGCCCCGGGTAACTCTGCCGTCTCAGCTCTTCTCAGCTCTCCCCTGCCGCATGCAGGGGGGTGGCGAATCACAAGAGCAGGCGCCGGCAAAAATCACAGTGCGAGGGAAACTGTGAAGCCAGCCGATGCCTCTACACAGCTCCATCCCTATTTCAGACATTGTGATATATCATTGCGTCATGATGTTTAGTTGATGATATATGGCGATGTTGAAAACCAGATATCACCCAGCCCTAGAGGTTATTGATAATTTATTTCTAAATTGGGATTTCAAACCAGGCCTTGCCCCTTTTGTGCTCACAGGGTGGTTTATGTACAGCGCAATGCAAGGAAACTGTGTAATGCATAATCATTTCTAGGCTGTAAGTTATGCTGCAACAGGAACAAATAAGAGCGGTGGCGACAGCGGCTGCAACAGGAGGGAGGTTTTTGATCTCATCCTGCACACACACACACACACACACACACACACCAGATACCTGTGCAGAAAGGTGCACCTTAACCTACCATTGAAATGTGGCCGGGTTCTCTTTGGAGGGGGGGGTCACGCCACACCTTGAATGCCCCCCCTCCTGCGCCACCACTGACCCTCCAGATCTGCAAATAATGAGAGTAACTCGTAATAAAATAGTTGCTTTTATTTTATAGCAAAACTAGGAATTCCACATGCTATTTACAACAGGCCAAAGGTGTTTTATTTCAAGTACAACAAAATGGATCAGGACATCGAAACAACTCTTTTTATTATTATTATTATTTTACAGGACTGGACGCCACAAAGCGAAGAAACTCGCACACTCTAGGACTGATGCCGGCAGAAGGGGGTTCTTTTTTGGACGCGTGCAGACTGCTTCCTTCGCCCCCATCCTACCCTCCCCCCCCCCGGCTTGCTCTCCGGAAACCCGCCCTGGTGGACCCTTTCAGGTACAGCTTTAGATGGTCATGGACTTACACAAGTAGGTATCGATACAGCATGCTCAAAGCCTCCCCCTCCCCAACTTGTTTCTGGGTGCGGGTGCCTGTGGAGCTCAAGGTGCCCCACGCCTGGGTGCTGGAAGGAACGGCTTGGGGCGCGGGAAGAGTTTGTGGTAAGGCAGTTTGTGGTCAGAAACCTCTCTGTCTCTCTTTCTGCTGCCCCGGCCTCCTCCATCTCAGCCAGGGAATCTTTTTGTTCTGGACAGAACTCCGTGGGGAGAGGGGGCGGCGGAGGCAGCAGCAGCAGAGAGCCTCTGGACCCCCAGCGCTTGAGGGGGAGGAGTGTGGATTTTGTGGCAATTTTCTCTCTTCCACCTGATTTAAGGCGGTATAAACCTCAGCCAGGCTCTGGAGCCAAAAGTCTGCCCCAAGGGGCCGGAAACACCCCCCCCCCCGGCTGAACTGAACACAAGTGAACTGGGTTAATTTAGGTCCGTGAGAATAAGTCCTCTCCTCTCCTCTCGGAGTACTTGAGGGCAAATACTCCTCCATGTTTGTGGCTTCTCAGCCGCCCTGAATTTCCACACGCCTTTCTTTGAACGGGGTTGGCAGCCAGGAAATTGGGATGGGGGGCACTTCTGTGAGCAGTTTCTGGGTCGCACCTTTTACCCTGTGACTTCCCCCTCCGCTTTTGGTAGGCTAAATATTGGATGAGCAAAGAAGGGCAAGGTTTTTAGCAGCTACGTTAGGTTTCCAAAACATGTCTGTGTTTTAAAGGGTGGGTTGGACTAGATGACCCTTGGGGTCCCTTCCAGCTCTACAATTCTAGGATTCTGCTATTCTTCTTGTTGCAGAGAAAAGGGGTGTTATCTCTGTATCCAGCAGTGTGAGGAGCTTTTGCATTGCTCGGAGCCTCACTCTAGACCAGGGATTCCCAAACATGGATTTTGGACTGTTTTTTGGACTACAATCCCTTCCACTAGTCTTGCCAGCTAGTTACGGTGGGAATTGTAGTCCAAAACCAGCTGGGAGACCCAAGTTTGGGAAAGACCAGTCTAGGCTTTTGCTAGATTAAACCACTCCCTGCTGCCCTGCTCAGGGTGCAGGATCAGGTCCTCTTGGGTCCTCGCTTTCAGTGCCACCTGGTGGCCTTCATTATCACAAACACCTGGGGAGATGTGGCCACAATTATTCATTCCTCTCTCTCTCTCCCCCCTCTCCATTGTTTGCTGGGGCTCCTCTCTTGAGTGTGCTGTAAAACTGTGCATGTGCGTAGCCACGGGGTGGGGTGGGGCAGCTGTCCTCCCTAAATCAAGCAAATCAATAAAAATACTTAACTATCTGAGGTTCTGCCCCCCCTAACATGAAACGTGCCCCCCCTAATAAAATTACTGGCTATGCCCATGAAATTGTGCGGTTTTGGGGGGTGGGGTTGGAGGGGGCTGTTTCCAAAGGGGGGAGGGGGGAGATCCAGGCAGGTGGTGGTTTCAACTGAAAACCCCTTAGAATTTGCAGCGTTACACCTGGAATGCTTGCTGTGAGACTGCCCCCGAGGAAGGAGGGGACAGGAAGGGGCGGGTCCTTGCCAATTTTGCATTGGCAGGGTGGCTGCCTGCTGTTTTGTACAGCTGGGACAGGCGGAGGGGGGGGCGGTCCTGCCCCATGGCTGCACGGGGAGCTCCGACTTGACTCACTGCAGCGGAAAAACAGATGTGCCTCTGTCTGAACGCTCCGCGCAGGTTTCTTTCCTGCCTGGAGGCCAGATATTTGAGATGCGCACCTGATGAGGGTGTGGGCAGGGGGGCGGCGGCTTGGTGTCCAGGGTGGGGGGTGAGGAGGCAACCAGGTAGCTGGCTGTGAGGAGGAGGAGGAGGAGGAGGGTGGGGTGGCAACCGGGCGTCCTCCGCGCGGACCTTTCGCTCGGTGGGGGAGACTCTGTTCTCCTGACTCATGCAAGAACCTGAAACACGGCGGATGGCAAAGTTTCTTTGGGCGGGGGGCGAGGAGAGGGGCGGAGGGGACCCCCGGGCGGCTCTCACTGGAAAGCCTTGGGGCGCTTCATCAGCATCGTCTCGATGTAGTTCTGCAGCTCCTCGTCCTCGCCGCCGTCGTCGTCCTCCTCGCGGGCCGGGCCGTCGTCGTAGAACTCCTCCCGGGGCACCACGGGGCCGGGGAGCGGGCCGCGGAAGCGCGCGTAGAGCGGAGGCTGGAAAGTCCGCGGGTTGATGTAGTTGGAGATCTTGTTGCTGCCCGCGTAGTTGCTGACGCCGCCGCCGCCGCCGCCTCCTCTGTGGCCGCTGCTGCCTCCGCTGGGCCGGGCCGGGTACCACTTGGGCGCCGGGTACTCGTCCCCTTTCAGCACCTCGTTCCAGGCCGCCTCGTTCTGCTTGGGGAGGCGGTGGTGGTGGAAGGACTTGTAGTCCGCCGGAGGGTAGTAGGGCTTCTGCGGGGGCCGCGGCTCCGGGCGGTAGACGGCGTAGGCGGGCGCCTTCTTGGGCTTGTTGCGCGCCGGCGGCGGCGGCAGCGGAGGGGCCCCGGGCCCTTTGGCCTTGCTTCCCGCGGGGGCCACTTCGGGGACCTCCTTCTTCTTCTTCTCCACGTTGTTGATGATGTCGATGACGTCGTCGGCGGGCAGGTGCAGTTTGCTGGACAGCTCGATCAGGCGGTCGATGGTGTTGGGGTCGATGTCGTCGTCGTCGTCGTCCTCGACGGGCGCCTCGTTGGAGCGCTTGTCCTCGGCCACGTTGCCCTCCTCGTCCTCGAAGAGGAGCCCGCTGCCCTTGCGGCGGATCCCGCTCCGCTGCGGCGGCTCCTCCTCGTCGTCCTCGTCTTCCTCCTGCGCGTTGGCCCCCTGGCGCCCGTCCTCCTCCTCCTCCTCGCCGTCCTTCAGCAGGTACTGGAGCAGCAGGTCGGAGGCCATGTCCGCCAGGCGCTCCTCCTCGGCCGCCGCCCTCCGCGCCTCCTCCGCCTGGCGCCGGCTCTCGGCCAGCTCCTCGTAGCGCCTCTGCAGGAGCTGGTGCTCCAGGTGTTGCTGCTGGCGCAGCTTGCGCGCCCCGTCCCAGGGCTCTCCTCCCGGGGGCGCCGGGCTGCGCTTGGCGTGCGCCCTCAGCCGCTCGTACTCCTCCAGCTCCTTGAGCACGTCGTCCCGCTCCTGGGGGGCCGGCGGGCCCTGGGGGGGCTCCGCCCTCTTGGCGGCCGAGCTGTAGCGCTGCAGCTCCTCCAACATGGACTTGAGGGCGTCCAGCTCCTGCTGCCCGAAGCTTCTCTCGCCAGCCTCGCCGCCCTCCTCTCCCTCCAGCTCCTCTTGCTTTCGGCCTCCGTCTTCGCCCGCCTCCCAGCGCGGCCCCTGCGCCTTCTTTTCCGGCTGCTCCTGCGCGTCGGAGCTCTTGGTCTCGCTGCGCACTCGCTCCTCGTTGGCGCTGGGCTCCGGGTTCAGGCTCTGGCCGCCGCTGGGCTTGTCAGCCTCGGCCTGGAGCGCCTGCAGGAGGACCGCGGCCAAGGCCTTGGGGTCCACGTCTTGGAAGAGGTCGCCTTCGTCGGGGCCGCCCCGCTTCTGGTCTTCGGGACCGAGGGGTCCCGGCAGCATCCCCCGGCCGGCTGGAGAGTTTTCAGGCTGGGGGGACTCGCGGTCGTTGTCGCCGCCGCCTGGGCGGGCCTCCTCCTCCTGCCCCCTTCCAGTGGGGAGCGCAGCAGCGCGGAGGTGGGACTGCGCCAGGAGGAGGCAGAGAGAGAGGAGCCAGGCAGCTCTGCGAAGGTGGTGAAGGCACGGCATCCTGCCACGCGGAGAGAGGTGCTGTGCAGGGGAGACAGACAAAGGCGAGGTCAGAGCGGCATAAAGTCGAGGAGACACCCCCCTCCCCATTCTCTCTCTCTCTTTTCTACACAGCAGGAGACTCTTAATCTCAGGGTTCCAGCCATAGGGCGAAAGAGCGCTGCATTGCAGCGGGTTCGACTGGATGATCCTCAGGTCCCTTTAGAAGTCTACGATTCACGCGCACAGATTGAGTGGTCTTGTGGAAGAGCAAAAACCCCACGTGCCATGGAATCCTAGGGTTGGAAGGGGCCCTGAGGATCATCTAGCCCAACCCCCTGCAATGCAGGAATAGGCAGCCGTCCCCTGCAGGGATCGAACCTGCCACCTCGACGTTTTCAGCACCAGGCTCTGACCGGCTGAGCTCTTCTGTGTGATGTTGTTAACACTGTTGCCTCGTGCAGGTTTGCCCTGGCCTTTGGCGAGACCCACAAACTTAACGAACTTGGGAAACGAAACGTCATCCCCTTGGCGGGAGGGGAGGTGCCTCGACCCACAAGCTTTGTGGGGGGCTGGCCGGGCTAGGTGACACAGTTCTGTCACCGAGGAGGGGGTGGCGGGATCCTTTGGCGAGCCTCTTCCTGATTAGGACTTCCCCTTCTGTGGGGCTGAGCCCCCCCCCTTTCCCCTCGGAAAATGGTTTCTGCCCAGCCCCACACCAGGCGCAGCGCTCCAGCCCTCGTGTTAACGTGGTCCTCTCTCGTCCCCACATCTCTCCCCCCCCCCACTCCCATTTTCTTAAGACCCGGCTGCATCGTGGGGTTTTGTTTCCCCCCCGAAGCGCCTCCTGCCAGCTCGCTGCCTGAGCGGCGGAGAGGCACGTCGTGTACTGTACGCTCGTAATGGGTCTCTCATTGACAATTCCGTGCATCGCCGCCGGATTCCGGGATCCTGCTCGCCTCGTAGGGTTGCCTGCCTGCCTGCCTGCCAGAGGTGCGCGCGCGCGCACACACACCCGGGCAGCTCCTTCCGACAAAACGTCTCTCTCTGCGCGCACGTACAAAACACTACGCCATGCATCTCCTTCTCCTCCGCCCCCCCCCCCGCACACTTTCCCAACTCCGCCGGGGTTGCCAAGGGATGCCACGAGACGGAAGAGCCCGCTCCTCGTGCTCAGCAGAGGGGGGGGGCAGGAGGGTGCCGCCACCCCCGCTCCTCAGTCGCCAGGACCCTCAGTTCTTGGCACCCGGCTACATTCCTGCATTCTCAGCCTAGGTGTGCTCAGTTGGGGGGGGGCGCTGCTGTTTATCGGAAGTGCATTTTGAACTGGCAGTTTTATTACCCTCGTTTTTGCCTTTTCCACCCAGCCTAGATTTTCCCCATACTGTGAGGGGAACGAGGAGGCTCTTCCGTCTGAATCGTGCTGTGGAAGAGGGGGGTCTGCGGGGGTCCGCTTGCAGCTAGATCCGGGGTCCCCATAAGTCTTTCCCTGCCTCCCACCCACCACCCCACTTCCCTGGAGCTGCTCCTGACATCCTCATCTCATCGATTGGGGTGTTCTTTCCTACACCCCACTATTCGGCTTTATATGGGACCGATGGGATCTTTGTCTCCCTCCCTCCCTATATAAGAGTTATTCTAGAACAAAGAAGTCCTCTGCTCGTCCCCCCCCCCCAGCCCACCTTTTCTTCCTCAGTTATCTCTGAGCTGTGGGTCACTGGGCTGGCTGCTTCTGGGGCACCGAAAGCGTCGCCCCGTGCCTCCTCCGCCTCCCCACATCAGAGAGAGCGCGCGAAAGACCTGCTGGCTCGTCTCTCGCTCGCTCGCTCCCCCCCCCCCTCTCTGCAGTCCCCACACCCACCGCCCACACATGCAGGGGAGGAGATGACTGGCAGCCTCAGCGCTGCTGCCGCCGCCTCCCTCTGCCGGCTGAGACCCTCCGCTACCACCCCCCTCTTTCCCAACAGCCATTCACCTTTAGAAAGCTGGCCCCCGCGCCCCATTTTCAGCCCCTCTGCATAACTTAGCCCCACCCCAGTTTCAAGAGAGTCTTCCCAACAACACCCCCGGATTCCTCGCCTTCTCCAACGTTCGCATAATTCTCCATTCTTTCCCACCGGCTCCCCACAAGCGTTTTTCCACCCCCTCCATCCTCAAGGGATAGAATCCCCTGCCCCACATCTGCGTCCGTCTACCTGCCATATCTCGAAGCGACCGAGCCCCCCCTCCATTTCTCTCTCCCCCTCTACGACCGGCTTCCCCCTGTCGCTAGCGAAAGGCGCCCGCCCCTCTTCGGGAATCGCTCCCCCAAGGGGACCACCCTGAACCCCGCATCTCGGGGCAGCCCTTCTTGGGGGGGGGAGCAGACGCCCTCCTTGCCAACCGGCGGTTCCCATCCTGGAGACGCGCAGCCGCCGCCCCAGAGCCGCCGCCACCTCTTCGTCGTCCCCGGCCGCCTCCTCGCCTTAAATCACCGCTACCGAGCAGCGCTTCCTTCAGCGCCCCCCACCCTCTCCGACCATCCTTCCAGGGATGGGCGAGGCGGGCCGGGGGTTGTCCTCTAGGACTCCCCCACCCCCCGCTTCTCGC